CAGACGTTACGCAAGGTACGCATTGAAACTATCACATAGGCCACAGAAGTAGCTAAGATCAATAATGCCTCACGCACTAAGACAACTGTCACCGGTCAGAGACTTGGTCGATTATCATCGCCCCACAACAACAAAGGACGACTGGGGAGGCTGGAACGGCCCCTACCCAGTCGTAAAGAACGATCCCGGAAGGGGTCAAGTCATCACTCGAGTGGGCAATCGAGATGTTCAGGTATAGTACGGTGATGCACGACATTCGCTCTATATCGAAGCACGAATAGCTAGAGAAATTGGCTCCGACAACGCTGCACTACGGACAGCGCTGACGTTCGTGGCCAGTTTACCAGCGGGGAGACCTGCTATGACATTCGGCTATGTACCGAACAAGAGAGGGACGTTTCCGATCACGAGTGCAAGCCGTCTATCTCCAAAGGTACATCTAGCTTTACAGTGCCTTATCAGGAACTACCTCCGCATCGAGAACGTAGTTTCTGTCAGGCTAGCTAAGAGTATACATAAGCTACCTCTGGTTGCTTGCGCTAACAGCTGCACGTTGGTCCACGATGACAACGACGCGATTCCAGGATTTCATTACTGCGAAGCAGAAGGCACCGCACTGAACATACACGACATAACGGGATCAGCACATTCGACGGTCATTCAGTGCCTAAAGTCCACCAAACCTCAAGCATGTTGTGACCAGGACATGACAAGGCTTGAGGAATTGGCGGATGCACCGACGCCGGATGGAACCGCGAGGGAAGCCGTAGAAGCCGAACCACCACATGATGATGGACGGCTTGCCACGATTTACGAGGAATCGGAGGCCGATCTCGAGTCACATGTCATGGAAGTGTGGTGTGCAGAACTACAAGAGGAAAAGGAACTGTTGGAGGCAACTCCACCGGAGGACCTTTTCACAATACCCACACAGATGGTTCCAGACCAGAGTGTGCTGATCACTGCAGCTGATGAACAGCGGGGACACTTGCCTAAGTGGGGACACACGCACGACTCCGACATCGAGGAGACGTATCACGTCCCAATGTGTTCCATGGTCGAAGATTGCAGCTACGGACTGGACTTCGACGAAAATGGACAGCTTGTAGAACTCTGCTTCGCGGCAGAAATTTCAAAGGTAGTCCTGTCCGAACAACAACGCAATATGCTAGATGCCGACCGTGTGACCACTATGCGAGTATATGTTACCGCCGCTGCAAAGCAAGCTGTGGTCGTCAAGGAAGACGACCTTTTCGCGAAATCTGACATCCCGGCGAATCCAGAGAATGTTTCTAAAGCCCGCTACACTGAACTCAAGACATGGTGTGACAAGAAGTATTTCAAAATGCAAGACATATCTAAAGCGCCAAGCATCATGACTTCGAGGTATGTGTACACATGGGAGTTTGTGAAGAAAGAGAATGGCGATATGGAGCGCACCATCAGATTATGCCTAGTGCTCCGAGGCTTCATGGATCCAAAAGCCTTCGACGTAGAAACCTTTTCGAGAACAGCGCGGCTGTCAAGCCAGAGACTACTCGCCAGCACGGCAGCGTGCAATCAGCAATGGATCATTGTTCCCCTCGACATCAACATGGCCTTCTTGAGAGGGCTGCCCCCGCCAAGAACTTGCTGGGGCAACAGGTGAAATGGAACGCGTGGTGTGTTTTACTTTGCCGCCTGGATCGGCCACGGTGCTTCGGACTCTCCCAGGCTTCGAACGCTGCGACGAGTCGAAGCGTTGCTTGCAGTGCCTGAAACCAGGCACTGGCACCAGAGACGCACCGCGATCTTTCTCACTAGAGCTCAGAAGGACCACGCGAGGTTTTGGTCTCCGACCCGCGTTCTGCGACGAGGAGTTCGAGACGAGAAGCAACCTGCTTACGGCCAAACTTGTGGATGGCATTAATATGGCCGGCGCTAAGGACACCATTGACAAGTGTGTCAAGTGTGTAGAAGACACCTTTGGTAAGTGTAAACTCACCAAGCACACGTGCACCAACTGCGCCGTGAGATATGCCAAGGATGAGGGCGGCAATGTTAATCTGGACCAAGACGAATACATCAAGCAGTTCCGTCTTATACAACATCCTGAACTCATCGGGGCCGACGCTGACGCTCAAGCATCCAAGATGGTAGCATGCATGTTCGTTAGCCTCAGGGGTGCGCTGGCGTATGCATTAATCACCCAGGTGTGGTTGATGGTGTATGTTGTATCTCTACAACGTGTTCAAGATACGACGAATATTTAAGTGCGACGACTGAACGCGATCATCAGGAAGCTGCAGGACTGCCCCAAGAAGATCGCCTATCAGGGGATGACCCCTTACGGGCGAGGTTGACCTGCGCAGCGACTCAAGATACCGACGCCAGAGTGGAGACGTCGACGGCGACGTCATAGGCTATGGTATTCAAGGGGCAAATCTGCTACTGTTTGGAAACACGCCATCCGGTAAACCTGTCGTCCATTCGATCGATGCGTACTGCAAGTCTCACCGCTTGCAGGTCCGCTCGAGTTATTCAGCAGAGACACTAGCAGCAGCCCGTAATTTGGAGGGTTGTAATTCTACGATTGTGACTCTGCACGAGCTCCACGCGGGGCCGCTCACGCCCACCCAGTTGAAAGACAGACTTGAGTTGGGTGGCCTTAGTATCAAGGTCACTTTGACCATAGATACTGAGTCTGTTTTTCAGTCCTTGTCAAGCAAAGACTTGAAGAAGCCATCCGAGTGTACCCTTCTAGGACACAGCAGTTGGATACGACAGATGATGGAGCGTGGAATCATGCACAGTATTCAGTGGTGCGACACCCGCGATATGACTGCGGACGGTCACACCAAGGGGAGCATCGACAGAGGTATGCTCCTACAGGTCATGGGAGTATACAGGCCTTCGAACATGATCTAGAGAGTCATACTCACTATTGGGCCAGCCAGACATCTGGTTCTGTAGCCGCCAGAGGAGTATTTTTAAGTACAGAATCGTACAGGCAAGGCGACTTGCGTGCGGGTCCACCTTCCTTATGGCCCGCCCTTTTTCTGTCCTTCTGTAGATTAGCTGCTGTACCTGTTGCAAAGGGGCGGCGGACTCACGCTTCGTCTCTCTCTCTCTCCCCCGATTCTAAAGCGAGCTGAGGGACAAGGAGCGGAAGCGAGCGTGTGCCCGCGGCCACGTCGGCTCAAGCGGCCGGCCGCCCAGCTATGACTTTGTCTCACTGCGAGACACACGATTGCTATCAAGACCAAAAGGATCTTCCTATTGCTTACGATGCAGGAGCTTGGCTTCGCCTAAGGCGAAACTGCTGGCTGGGCCTCCCAACCCCCTTCAAACTCCCCTTCCCGCAATGGACCCGAGGTTGTATCCCATCGCGTGGCCTAAAGTGGGCGGCGTTGGCTGCGCGGTAGAATCGGAGGGGCCTGACCCATCAGGAGATACGCGCACTTACCCCATTACATGGAGTAATCTTGAAAACAAGGTATTGTAGCAAAGTCGGTGGTTTCGTGTGGGGGGGGTGTTGCTCTCGTTTTTCGCCCTCCGTGCTTCTCGAAAGGAGGGTGCTAGGGGCTTGAGAGTGTCCCGCTGTCCACAGACAGAACGTGTGCAGTGCAAACTATCGTGCCACTCCACGGTGACTCCAGCAAAGCAGCGATAGCGGATGGCCTGGCGCGCTCAAATTTGCACCAGTAGCGGATGGGCCAGCGCACCCAATACACGACGACGACGACGACGAGGTTAGGGGATGTCAGTTCGGCGGGGGGGCGCCCAGTTCAGCTCCTGCCTGTGCGGCGGGGGGGCGTCCAGCTACGGTTCGGTTCTGGTTCTGGTTCGGTTCAGTTCCAACCGGTTCGGTTATTTTCGTTTTCGGTTAAGTCGGCCCTGTCCCTCTACAGGAGGACTATTCCTAATAGTGAAGATATAGAGGAACGATTTTGAGTATTTTTTGCTATTTGGTGGTATTTTCGAGTTTTTTTGTTCGTCCAAAGCCCGTTTGAAGGGGGACATGCCCGACGTAAGTCTTCGGTTCGGTCTGGTTCGGTTTTCGATGCTCCGTTTCTTGACCCAGTCTGGTTTGGTCCGTCCATTGTTATCGGTTCTTTGTTCGGTGTGTTTTTTTCGTGTTGCAAGAAATGATTTGCATTGCTGGAAGAACGCAGCCGTCCAATAATCCCCACTCGTGACAAAACCAAATTCAATTCCTGGGATATCAGCGCCGCGAATCAATATGATGAATGCGTCATGGCAGTCCTAAATCGTCCCAGGACGCCATTCCTGGGACTTCAGCTCCGCGGTTCAATGTCACTGTTGCGTCCGGACAATCTAAAATCGTGCCAAAACACCACCCCCAGGATGTCAGTCGTGCGAATCCGTGGAACTGTTGCACACATTCAAGACGACTACTCGCAGCGCAAAACAAGTGAAAGCCAGATGTTGAAAAAGAAGCCGCCCTCCACCCGTGAAACTGTTGCTAACTTTCGCCGCCAAGGCGAGGGCCACATTTCGAAAGCGGCTCGCCCTCCATCCGTGAAGCTGTTGCATATTTCAAAGTTCAGGATGCATAGGTGGGGAGGGAGACCCAAACGAAATGCACCTACCGCCCCACCGACACGTGTGGGGGTGGTGCGACAAGGAACGGGTCGCGAGAAGAGGAAAGGAGGGGAAAGAGGTAGGAGGAGGAATAGGAGGAGGCGGAGGAGGAAGAGGAGGAGGAGGAGGAGGAGCAGGAGGACGAGGAGGAGGAGGAGGAGGCGGAGGAGGAACAGGAGGAGGAGGAGGAGGAGGAGGAACACGAGGAAGAGGAGGAGGCGGAGGAGGAGGAGGAGGAGAGGAGGAGGAAGAGGAGGAGGAAGAGGCCGGAGGTAGAAGAGGAGGAGGAGGAGGAAAAGCAGGAGGAGGAGGAGGAGGAGGAGGAGGAGGAGGAGGAGGGAGGAGAAGGGAGGAGGTAGGAGGCTGGAAATGGGAGGCTGGGGAGCAGGGCCGAGCCTGGGGTCTCCGCCCGCCAGGTCGGCTCCGGCGGCGGTCGCCACGCGGAGACTCCGAAGGAATCCCCTTGCTCCCGGTGGGGCCTCGGCGGCCACCGCGGGGCCTGCTTCGGCGGGGGGAGGGGGGGCGGGGAGAGAGGGGAAAGGAGGGGGGAGGAGGAGGGAGGGGAGGGGGGAGGAAGGGAGGAGGAGGGAGGGGAGGAGGGAGGAGGAGGGAGGAAGGAAGGGAGGGAGGATGGAAGGGAGGAGGAGGGAGGGAAGGAGGGAGGAGGAGGGAGGAAGGAAAGGAGGGAGGAGGAGGGAGGAGGGAGAGGAGGAGGGAGAGGAAGGGGGGAGGGGAGTGACGGGGGAGGAGAAGGGAGGAGGGAGGAGGGAGGATGGAGGCAGCAGGAGGAGGAGGAAGAGGAAGAGGATCAGTGTAAACCCAAGAGGCATCAGCGATGCTGCAGTCAACTCCTCCTCCAGGTGCCCTCTTCACAGGTTCCAGCATAGTGTTTATCTTCACTGACGGAGGTGCCCCATTTGAAGACAAGTGCCCGAGAATCCTCAATCGCACGAGAACACCATTCATGGGATTTTTCAGCGCCGCGAATCAAAGTGACTGTTGCGTCTTGTAAGTGCCCAATAATGCCATTCCGAGGACTTCAACACAGCGAATGAACGTGACTGTTGCGTCCTGACAACTCTACATCGGGCCAGAACGCCACTCCTGGGACTTCAACCACACGCATCCTTGAAAGAGCTGCAAACTGTTCAGACGAATGCGCGAGGCGCTAAGGCGAGAGCCAGATGTTGAGAAGGAATCGCCGTCCATCCGTGAAACTGTTGCAATATTTCAAATGACTGTGCGTGGCGCTAAGGCGAAGGCCACTTTTTGGAAAAAACACCCGCTTTCTATCGTTGAATGAGTTGCAGCTTTCAAGCTGCAGCATCACAAATGGTGAGGAAGTCTCAGGCGAAACGCCTGGCCCGCCCTACCGACACGTCCAGGGAGGAGTTGATTGAAGGAAAATGGACGGAGGAGGAGGAGGAGGAGGAGGAGGAGAAGGAGGAGGAGGAGAGGAGGAGGAGGAGAAGGAGGAGGAGGAGGAAGAAGAGGAGGAGGAGGAGGAGGAGGAGAAGGAGGGAGGAGGGAGGAGGAGGGTGGGGGAGGATTCCGCCGCAAAAACATGAAGACAGCAATTCTTTCTTCGCGTCCAGCCTCTGCAACATGATTCCCGGCCCAGGGAAGTGGTGCAGATCCCTGGGTCGACGTCACGAACAAAAATGCAATGTTCATGGCGCCAACATCGCAGAGCGGGTTTTGCTTCGGAAAACGATATGGTGGGCGCAGAGTGTCCTGGAGAAGGTGAATTTCGTTCAGGTGTGTTTGACTAGGAGTGAAGGGCGGCAGGGTGGCTCCCGGGCTGAAAATTGTCGAGTGGGTGGTTTAAAAAAACGAGATTCCAGTGTGCGGGTGGGGTGTCGGACCAGGTGATGACCAGGTGGAGGCAGGGTGGGTCCCGGGCTGAAAATTCTCGAGTGGGGGGTCTCAAAAACGATACTCCGGTGTGCGCGTGGGGTGTCGGACCAGGTGGTGACCAGGTGGAGGCAGGGTGGCTCCCAGGGTGAAACTTGTCGAGTGAGGGGTGTGTAGAACGAGACTCCAGTGTGTGGGTGGGTGTCGGACCAGGTGGTGGCCAGGTGGAGGCAGGGAAGCTCCCAGGCTGGAAATCGTCGAGTGGACTCCAGTGTGCGGGTGGGGTGTCGGGCCAGGTGGAGGCCAGGTGGAGGCAGCGCGGCTCCGGGCAGAAAATTGTCGAGTGGGGGGTCAGAAAGTCGCGAGTCCAGTGTGTGGGTGGGGTGTCGGACTAGGTGGTGTGCAGGTGGCGGCACGGTGGCTCCCGGGCGGGAAATTGTCGAGTGGGGGAGGCTCTAAAACGATACTCCACTGTGTGGGTGGGGTGTCGGACCAGGTGGTGGCCAGGTGGAGGCAGGGTGGCTCGCGGGCTGAAAATTGTCGAGAGGGGGGTCTCCAAAACGAGGTTCCAACGTGTGAATTTCGTTCAGGTTTTTTTGACTAGGAATGAAGGGCGGCAGGGTGGCTCCCGGGCTGAAAATTGCCGAGTGGGTGGTCTTTAAAACGATATTCCTGTGTGCGGGTGGGGTGTCGGACCAGGTGGTGACCAGGTGGAGGCAGGGTGGCTCCCGGGCTGAAGAATTGTCGAGAGGGGGGTTTCAAAAACGATACTCCGGTGTGCGCGTGGGGTGTCGGACCAGGTGGTGACCAGGTGGAGGCAGGGTGGCTCCCGGGGTGAAATTGTCGAGTGAGGGGTGTGTAGAACGAGACTCCAGTGTGTGGGTGGGGTGTCGGACCAGGTGGTGGCCAGGTGGAGGCAGGGAAGCTCCCGGGCTGGAAATCGTCGAGTGGACTCCAGTGTGCGGGTGGGGTGTCGGGCCAGGTGGAGGCCAGGTGGAGGCAGCGCGGCTCCGGGCAGAAAATTGTCGAGTGGGGGGTCAGAAAGTCGCGAGTCCAGTGTGTGGGTGGGGTGTCGGACTAGGTGGTGTGCAGGTGGCGGCACGGTGGCTCCCGGGCGGGAAATTGTCGAGTGGGGGAGGCTCTAAAACGATACTCCACTGTGTGGGTGGGGTGTCGGACCAGGTGGTGGCCAGGTGGAGGCAGGGTGGCTCGCGGGCTGAAAATTGTCGAGAGGGGGGTCTCCAAAACGAGGTTCCAACGTGTGAATTTCGTTCAGGTTTTTTTGACTAGGAATGAAGGGCGGCAGGGTGGCTCCCGGGCTGAAAATTGTCGAGTGGGTGGTCTTTAAAACGATATTCCAGTGTGCGGGTGGGGTGTCGGACCAGGTGGTGACCAGGTGGAGGCAGGGTGGCTCCCGGGGTGAAACTTGTCGAGTGAGGGGTGTGTAGAACGAGATTCCAGTGCGTGTGTGGGGTGTCGGACCAGGTGGTGACCAGGTGGAGGCAGGGAAACTCTCAGGCTAGAACTCGTCGAGTGGACTCCAGTGTGCGGGTGGGGTGTCGGACCAGGGGGTGGCCAGGTGGAGGCAGCGTGGCTCCCGGGCTGAAAATTGTCGAGTGGGGGGTCTGAAAGTCGAGAGTCCAGTGTGTGGGTGGGGTGTCCGACCAGGTGGTGTGCAGGTAGCGGCAGGGTGGCTCTCGGGCGGGAAATTGTCGAGTGGGGGCCAGTGTGCAGGTGGGTGTCGGACCAGATGGTGGCCAGGTGGAGGCAGGGTGGCTCCCGGGCTGAAAATTGTCGAGTGGGGGGCCCTAAAATGAGATTGCAGTGTGTGGGCGGGGTGTCGGATGAGGTGATGGCCCGGTGGAGGCAGGGTGGCTCCCGAACTGAAAATTGTTGAGTGGGGGGTCTCCAAACCGAGACTCCAGTGCGCGGGTGGGGTGTCGGACAAGGTGGTGACTTGGTGGAGGCAGGCTGGCTCCCGGGCTGACAATTGTCGGGTGGCTAGTGGGGATTTCTAAAACGAGATTCCGGTGCGTGGGTGGGGTGTCGGACCAGGTGGTGGCCAAGTGGAGGCAGGGTGGCTCCCGGGCTGAAAATTGTTGAGTGGGGGGTCTTTAAAACGAGGTTCCAATGTGTCGTCAAATTGTCGAGTGGGGGGTCTGAAAGTCGAGAGTCCAGAGTGTGGGTGGGGTGTCGGACCAGATGGTGGCGAGGTGGAGGCAGGGTGGCCCCCGGGCTGACAATTGTCGAGTGGAGGGTTTCAAAAACGATACTCCTGTGTGCGGGTGGGGTGTCGGACCAGGTGGTGACCAGGTGGAGGCAGGGTGGCTCCCGGGCTGAAGAATTGTCGAGAGGGGGGGTTCAAAAACGATACTCCGGTGTGCGCGTGGGGTGTCGGACCAGGTGGTGACCAGGTGGAGGCAGGGTGGCTCCCGGGGTGAAAATTGTCGAGTGAGGGGTGTGTAGAACGAGACTCCAGTGTGTGGGTGGGGTGTCGGACCAGGTGGTGGCCAGGTGGAGGCAGGGAAGCTCCCGGGCTGGAAATCGTCGAGTGGACTCCAGTGTGCGGGTGGGGTGTCGGACCAGGTGGAGGCCAGGTGGAGGCAGCACGGCTCCCGGTCTGAAAATTGTCGAGTGGGGGGTCTGAAAGTCGCGAGTCCAGTGTGTGGGTGGGGTGTCGGACCAGGTGGTGTGCAGGTGGCGGCACGGTGGCTCCCGGGCGGAAAATTGTCGAGTGGGGGAGGCTCTAAAACGATACTCCAGTGTGCGGGTGGGGTGTCGGTCCAGGTGGTGGCCAGGTGGAGGCAGGGTGGCTCGCGGGCTGAAAATTGTCGAGTGGGGGGCCCCTAAAACGAGATTCCACTGTGTGAGTGGGGTGTCGGACGAGGTGGTGGCGAGGTGGAGGCCCCGGGTTGGAAATTGTGGAGTGAGTGGCCTCGGGTGTGTGCGGGTGGAGTGTCGGACCTGGTGGTGGCCGGGTGGAAGCAGGGCTCGGAATTGTCGAGTGTGTTGGCGGGGTGTCGGATGAGGTGGTGGCCAAGTAGAGGCAGGGTGGTTCCCGGGCTGAAAATTGTTGAGTCGGTGGCCTGTAGAACGAGACTCCAGTGTGCGGGTGGGGTGTCGGACCAGATGGTGGCGAGGTGGAGGCAGGGCGCCCCCCGGGCTGACAATTGTCGAGTGGAGGGTCTGAGAAACGAGAGTCCAGTGCGTGTGTGGGGTGTCGGACCAGGTGGTGTCGGGCGAGGTTGTGACCAGGTGGAGGCAGGGTGGTTCCCGGGCTGAAAATTGTCGAGTGGGGGGTCTCGAAAACGAGATTCCAGTCAGTGGGTGGGGTGTCGGACCAGGTGGTGGCGACGTGGAGGCAGGGTGGTTCCCGGGTTGGAATTTGTTGAGTGGGGGGTCTCCAAAACGAGAGTCCAGTGCGTGGAAAGGAGACTCCAGTGCGTGGGTGGGGTGTCGGGCCAGGTGGTGGCCAGGTGGAGGCAGGGTGGCTCCCGGGCTGGAAAATTGCCGAGTGGGGGGGCTCTAATGGTCGAGGTGGGAGCTGTAAAAAGTGACTGCAGAGTGGGTGGGATGTCGGACCAGGTGAAGGCGAAGTGGG